TATGTATTAGGTGTTGGAATTAATTCGTAGCGTTTTTTAATGAAAGAATGTTATTTATTTCACATGAGCATTAAAAAATACATTAATGAAAGTACTTCCCATCACTTGTAAAACGCTACGAATTAATTCCAACACCTAATATATATATATATGTTGTTCTGTTATATAAAACAAAGCCGATCTACGTAAAAACAACGTAGAAATTTGTTGCTAGTTTGTTGTCGAAATATTCTAGTTTTAAATATACTACGAAATAAGTGTAAATAACAACGATAAATCTCAGTAAAATAATAAAATATTTGTTGCTCGCTTAACCTGGGAGTAGATGCGGCTCGACTAACGTTAGTAAGCGCATCCTAGTCATTTTGATAGAATTTTTGAAAATATTTTCGTACATATGTATATATGTGTTATAATGAATACGTATATGATTATAATTACTATAAGTAATAAGAAAACGTTTTTATAATGCTTTATTAATCAATTAAAAACAAAGAATAATTACTAGAAATTATATTTATATGATGTATTTTTATTTTAATTTAATTTTTTTTTATTTTATGTATTTTATGTATTAGGTGTTGGAATTAATTCGTAGCGTTTTACAAGTGATGGGAAGTACTTTCATTAATGTATTTTTTAATGCTCATGTGAAATAAATAACATTCTTTCATTAAAAAACGCTACGAATTAATTCCAACACCTAATATTTTTATTTTACAATAATTTTATCTTTTTTTTTATTTATTAAAATTATTGATATGTAACGAAATAATAAGAAAATTATAATTTTATGTTTTTATTTATAAAAATATAATAATGGCGGAGACTGACCGAGACGACAACACTAAGTGCGCGCGTTACGGTCTTTTAAACCGATCGTTACAAATATATTAAATTTTATATAGATAAGCGTGTTTAAGTCATCTATTTTCGCATACTATACGAAAAAAACATTAACAAACATTTACGTAAAGATATAATAGTGTCAATAAATTCAAAGATAAATAGAAAACAAAAGAGCAAAATGATCGGTAGGCAATCATTTCGGTAGGTTAAAATTGGTACTGAGATTTCGTCTAAATTTGTTACTCTCGAAATATGCAAGTGTATAATAATTAGCGTGTAATAAATTCAGTTGACATCTTGATATTAGAATTTTTCGTTTTTCTACTGATACTAACAAAGACAGCAAATTATGCTACTGCCAAAGTTTTGCTCATGTAGGCTATGTTTCAAAAATAACTATTAGTAATGAAAATCTATAGTTTATGTTACGCATTATAGATTTTCAGTACTAGCAGTAAATTTTGGAATACAGTTAATAGTATGTAGCACATAAATAGTAATACATGATCAGGGGATTGGTTATGATACGGTCATAGGGTACAAAAATGATCCTTGATACAGATTACTTTTAAATTACCTCGGATTATTTAAGATTACTTAGTACTACTTCAAACTATTTAAGATTATCAATTACTACCTCATATTGCCCAAAATTATTTTAGAGTATTTAAAATTACATAATATTTTCTGAGATTATCTGAGATTTTTACTTTGCTCATCTAAGATTATCTTATACGAGTACATAAAGTATTATTTCTTCAGATCACTCTAGAATATCTTTGTAGACCACTGTGATAAGTATCTTCGAGAACATCGATTTTAGATTTTCATTTGCTTAAGAAAAATCGCAATTTTACAAAACAAATATTTATTGCATACAGGTATACAAATATAAAAATACAAATATAAAAATTTCGCAAACAGAATATGTATTATATGTATAGATAGTAATAAGTTCGATTATTCTAAAGTTTGTGATTTTTTAATAATAATAAAGCAATATCCATTAAGTACTCTTATAAGGTTCAGAATGATAGCACTGTGACATTCTAATTAATAGATGACGCACATCTTAATTGTGATTTCTCTGACAATGAAAATATTGATCAAATAACTGATTTTCAACAAAATGTGCATATTTCTCTCAACAAATTTGATATTATCAATCCGTTAAACATAAGAAATGGTATGTACATGTACATACCATTCATACATGAGAAATGATTTGTGAATTTAAGTGACGTTGATGTTCCATATGATGTCCAATGCTTATTACAACTAGATAAACGGTTTGGACTGCCTTTGATTCAAGACATTAAAGAAAAAACTATAATTGAATTTATAAAACAAATTGAAAATAATGTATCTAATCATCTAAATAATATTATTAACTATGTTAGAAACCATATTCGGTTAATATATGTATTAAATAAACTGTACCATAATTGTCCATCATTGAATTGTGATGAAATTACATTAAGTAAATGGACTAAAACTACTAAAAAATTTATTAAAGATCACCCGGATTTATTTTTTACTAAGGACAAAGGGAACATCACCGCTATTGACAGACTTGTCCATAATCAAAAAATGGAGAATGTTTTCGGAGAACACGTACATGAAAATAGAGAGAGACTCCACAAGAAAACTCACTAATGATTTGCGGAGTCTACTTATAAGAACAAACAATTTATTGACGAATTAACATATAAAAGGTTTCTCACTACCAATAGAACTATCCCTAGAGGTTACGACGCACCTAAAATCCATAAACAGAACGTTCCATTGAGATTAATAGTATTCTCGATTAATAGTCCACTTTTTATAATCTTTCCTGTTTTTTACATTACATCATTAAGGAAAGCATTCCTTCCAGTAACACATAGTCATATGGAAAACAGCTTCTAATTGGTAGAGAAACTGAAAGGAAGTTTTGAGTCTGATTATATTTTGGCTTCTCTAGGCGTGATTTCGCTCTTTACTGTTCTTATTGATTTAGCCCAGAAAAGTATAATCAAAAGATGGAATTACAAAGTGAATAATACAAAAATAACACAGGAAGAGTTTATGATTGCTAGGAATTTTATTTTTAATTCCATATTTTTTCTTTTTAACGATTCGTTCTATAAACAGATTTATGACACGCTGATGGGATATTCGCCTTTATCTCCTATTATAGCAAACATAGTTTTGCAAGATTTAGAAGAGCAGGTTTTGGAGAAGTTATCGTTACAATTGCCTTTATATTACAGATATGTGAATGACATTAGCAGTCACAATTAAATTGCATCTTAGACACTTTTAATTCCATGCATGAAAGGTTGCAATTCACAATCGAGATTAGTAACGACAATAAACTCAATTTTTTGGATGTCAGTTACATAATCATTTCATCATTTTTGACCGATTTTCAAAGCCAAC